AGATACATAGCAGAGGTGAGCTTGTAGTTGCCAAAAGTCCTTTTAGAAATAGTTCATAGGTTATAGTCCAATGTCCATATTCAGGGTGACTCCAGTCAGTGACTGGGGATCTCAATCCTTATGGCTTAAGGTTTCCCCCTCTTGAAACCCAAAGCAGATCTGAGATGAAGCAGGATCGTGTCCCAGGGTCTTATACATTTCCAGCAGCCTTTCGGCCTGAGAAAACAATAGGCCTAACTCTCCTTCCAAACATCCTGGCAATTAGCACAGGGTCATTTATCCATTAAACAATTCAGATCCAGGTTACCACAACCTTCAAAGAGACATAGAGACAATAATACTATTTCACTCAAGTATCATCATAAATGTTAATATTCTTCTTTTGATATTTGAATTAAAGTTATAGCAATAGACAAGACTTGTTTGCTTACATCACAAGACCTGAGCAAACTTCTACCCTTGAGATCTCTAACAATGCAGGTTTGCATTTCAAAGCTCTATTCCAGGGGTAGGCAACCTATGGCACGCGTGCCGAAGGTGGCACGCGAGCTGATTTTCAGTGGCACTCACACTGCCCGGGTCCTGGCCACCGGTCCGGGGGGCTCTGAGTTTTAATTTAATTTTAAATGAAGCTTCTTAAACATTTAAAAAACCTTATTTATTTTACATACAATAGTTTAGTTATATATTATAGATTTATAGAAAGTGACCTTCTAAAAACGTTAAAATGTATTACCGGCACGCGAAACCTTAAATCAGTGAATACATGAAGACTTGGCACACCACTTCTGAAAGGTTGCCGACCCCTGCTCTATTCATTTACAGATCTTCCTAACCAGTCTAGGTTCACCCATGGGTCAGGTCAGTCTGAGTTAATTAACTCTTTCTGGCCCTGTCACCTCCCAATGAAATATTATATTACACTCATAACGTCACACGGGGCCAGTGGACGATGCTCTGGAACTGCCCCCTACGGAGCCAGGCAGGACTCTGGGGGATGCAGCGAGGCCTTGTGGTTCCCCGCCGCCCGGAGAGGGACGAGCGCCTCTCAACACCAGAGTGAGCAGAGCCAGCGAGTCCCACGCCTGCCCCCCACAGGTCAAGGCGCAGGAGAGGAACTATAAAAGCCCAAACCCAGAGCTTGCTTGGGGCCAGACACCTCCGGCCTAGTCAGGGCTGGATCCAGGCACCAGCGGAGGAAGCACATGCCTGGGGTGGCACATGCTAAGGGGCGGCATTCCGTCCATTCTTGGGGCGGCACCATTCGGGCGCCTTTTTTTTTTTACTTGGGGGCAGCAAAAATGGAAGAGCCGGCTCTGTGCCTAGTTCCCGGTTGGGAGACCCCAGTGACCTACGGCCGGCTCGAGGACTGGCCTGACCTGCCGGCGCCCACCAGAGCCCGAGGAGCTGCCCAGCCTGCCCCTCGCCAGTTACCCGGAGGAGCCCATGGTGCTGGGCCCCCCGGAGGACACCGTCCGGCCCAAGTACCTCCAGAGGGGGAGTTCGGAAGTGGCCCGGGGGCAGCCGACCCGAGTCTGGGTGCGACGCTGCCAGAGCCCATGTCACTGTGTTGCGGCCGGGATCCCACTGGCTCAGCAGCCAGCCGTCTGCCACTGCTGGGGCCCCGGGCTGGGACGCACTGGAGTGGGAGGGCCTGCGTCCCCCCTGCCACCCCACTCGCGGGTCTCAGTCTCCCCATCTCCCCGGACGTCTGAGCCGAGAGCCTGGGCTGGTTGTTAACCTGTCTTAGCTCAGCCCCTGCCTGAGCCACTGACTCTCTGCTGCCCGGCCCTGACCCAGGGCCTGGACCTGCTATTGCACAAACTGGTCCTCAGCCCCTGCCTGAGGACCTGAGCCCGTGACTCACTATTGCCGCCGACCACGGGCCAGGTGCGAATCACTGTCTGTGTTTGCCTCCCGCAGACAGACCCCCGCGGCCAGGCGAATTCCCCGTCAGCAACTGGAATCATAGACTCATAGACTATCAGGGTTGGAAGGGACCTCAGGAAGTATCTAGTCCAACCCCCTGCTCAAAGCAGGACCAACCCCAACTAAATCATCCCAGCCAGGGCTTTGTCAAGCCGGGCCTTAAAAACCTCTAAGGAAGGAGATTCCACCACCTCCCTAGGGAACCCATTCCAGTGCTTCACCACCCTCCTAGTGAAATAGTGTTTCCTAATAGCCAACCTAGACCTCCCCCACTGCAACTTGAGACCATTAGGAAGGAAGTAGGAAGACGGTGTGGTTCCCCACCGCCCCGGAGAGGAACAAGCCCCGGGCAAACCCCCAACACACAGCATGCCTCGTCTCTCTGAGCAGACTGAAGAAGCTCACACAGCTTTGACCTTCCTGGGTCTGACCTCGGAGCATTCAGCATCCCCTTCCACACTAGGGTGACCAGACATCCCGATAAAATTGGGACCATCCCGATATTGAGGCATTTGTCCCGCGTCCCCGACCGGGTTTGGTCAGGACACAATTTGTCCTGATAGTTCATGGTACTCTGTTTTTGTTTTTGTTTTCCTCCGCCGGCAGCACGCCTCTTTTTTTTTGCTCCGCCGGCGACCCCCCGCCCCCAATGTGCCCCGATATTTTCTTCCTCTCATCTGGTCACCCTATTCCACCCTGTTCGCTTCCAGCAGCGAGTCCGCCCGGGAGGGGG